TTTTGAGGGAGATTATTTTTACAAATAATTTGTACAAATTGGTTAGAAAACCACTAAGATACCAAACCCACAGCCATGGAGTTGATTCCAACTCACAGCGATCCTATAGACAGAGTAAAGCTACCCCACAGGAGCAAGAAGGCTTAATCTCCACGGAAGCCCCCTGCTGGCTTCAAATGGAGACCTTTCAGTTAGGAGCCAAGCGCCTACTCACTGCTACCAGGGCTGAATGAGATACTAGTGGTAACAGGGGCTCTATCTATGTACATGCAGTCAAAGTAGTTGGAATGTGCTGAATAACAAAAGTATCCAGGCGTTCAATCTTACTAGTAATAAAAAAAAAGAAAATTAGGCTAACTAGATTCTGTTTGTAAACTTTTTCTCATTTTTGAGTACAAACCTTCATGGAAAATGCACAAAGCAGTAGGTAGACATGAGCTTACTTATATACTGTTCCACAGTACACTTTTATGCCTTAACTTGAATGTTATATTACACTTGAAACAAAAATAAGGTTGATTCTTGGATATAAAAATTACACTTTGGTGAATCTTTTTTAATGAAAAATCTTTATGAAACCAAAACCTCAGTGTTAGATTACTGTTTCCTGACACACGTTTCATGTAGATCTTTGAACTTCGGAGGTGATGTTCCTAGGTCTCTGACCCTTCCCTGAAGAATTCTGCTCTCTTTGACTTACAACAGTGTGGGTCACCTTTGGGAATTTAAATTGTGTTCCTCTGAAATATTCTTTGAGTTTTGAGAAATAAAAACTGTTTGAAGGGGTGATCAGGGATATAGTATGGATGGAGTAAGATTTCCCAAGGAAATTTTCCTAGGACATGAACGAATAGGTACATTGTCATAATGGGGGTAGGAATAGGGCTACCCCCCAAAACTCAGCACAACTTTGTGGCCTTCTCACCAGTACAATTTTTTAATTGTGTTAAAATAAGTTTATAATAAACCCTCATGCTCATGTGTTTCCTTTTTGAAAATCTATCAAGATTACCCCTTCAGCACCCAAAAAACAGTTGTCATAGCCTTCCCACAGATCCCCTTGGAAGCTACCGGTATGATTGGACTTTTTCTTTAAGGTATCCTAATGAGACTAAAACAAGTGTAGCACTGAGGGAACTTGTCTGCACCTGTCCATCAATCATAGAGCCATCTTCCAATGTGCTTTATTTGGAATAAACTGCATTTATGGACTGGAACCCTAACAATACAACTTTTGACTTTGTTCGTATAAGTAGTGGGAATATTTTTAAACAACCTAATTGTACAATAATGTAATTTAAATATTAAAAATTGTTTCAGGAAAAATAACTTGATAAGTAATCAGTGATTAAGAATGACGGTTGTGAAAAAAAATGACGGTTGTGAATTCTGTTGGGAAATAAAACACAATTACATAGGATTCTCACTTGTAATAAAATTAAAAACAGGTATAAATGAAAACTGAGAGGTATATAAATGTGTTAACAGTGGTTTCATTAGTGGTAAAATAATGTGTGCCTATTTCATTTTTTCCAAATTTTGTAGTGATACAATAAATGATTTTACCATTTCAAGGGTGGAGGGGAATCCAAAGCCCTTGACTATAGTGTTTGTAGCTTTTTATATCTGTTGGTATATGATAGGATATTATTTAGTTTTTTCTTAGAATGCTTTGCATTGATTGGTTATTATATTTCTGATACTATACCAAATGCAACACATACAAGGGGATACTCCCCCAAAACGGACTTTTTTTCAAAGTTATATACTTAAAAGTTTTTTTTACAAAACAACCTTATCACCTTCAAAATACTCTCCATTACACTCAATACATTTGTCAAGTCTGCGATTCCATTCTTGGAAACATTTTTCAAACTCCTCTGTTTGGATAGCTGACAGCACCTTCCTGGTTTTTTTTTCCTTCACTCCTTCTAAGTTGTCAAACTGCTATCCTTTAATGTCCCTCTGTATTCCTGAAAACAAAAAGAAGTGACATGGAGCAAGGTCAGGTTAGTAGGGTGTGTGGGGCAAGAGAGGCATGATGTTTTTTGCCAAAAACTGGCACACTGAGATGTCTGTGTAAGCAGGTGCATTGTGGTGGTGGCAAAACCAGTCTGCCACAAATCAGGCCTTTTTTGTTGCACACTGTCCTGCCATCTTTTTAGAAGCTTTAAATAGAAAGC